GCGGCGGCTGAGTGAGTGTCTGGTCCATGCCCCTCTGGTCCTGCAGGCACGGGCACGCGCACATTCTGTTCTGTCGTTTGCCCTGGTTAGCGTGGACAGGCCCGTGCTTGCCCCGTAGGACCGGGATGCCACCCAAGGACAGATTGTAGGGAGGCTCAGCCGCGCCCTCTGCAGCTTTCCTCAGGCTGCCTCTTTGTGAAACAGGGACGGTCAGAGGCCCAGGCTCAGGAGCTTTCCAGTTCCCTCTCAAGTGGGCCTGCTGACGTGAGCACTCAGCCCCTTTCCCTCTGTGTGGATACGGGAAGAGCATCCCCAGCTTTCCTTCAGGCAGGCCGCTCAAGGGAAAACTCTTTGGGGACAAATGGCTGTTGTTTATTAGCCCCATTATTGGTGCGAATGGTGCATGTGCAAAGGGTGAAAAATTTCCCAGGCAACAAAAGGCTTGTATGTAGGGAAATTTTTATATTGGGCCTGCTTTATGGCCAGGGTTTCTCCTACTGGGGAAAATAGGAATTAGGATGTTCTACACACCCCTTGCATGGGAAAGCATGACGTAAATATGCTTCATTTTCAAGACATAAATATGTCTCGCCCCCGTGGTGTTTGGAGTGCTTCCCAAGCCAGGAAGTGTGTTGTTAAATTTGAGTAGGAGTGTTCTGAGGGACTGTTAGGTTTCCGTTCAATAATGTGCCAAAGCCTCTGTCCCCAGGCAGCAGGCTGGTGGGACGCTCAGAGACAGCCGCAAGTCTGGTGCTGGTGCCGCACACCAATAGGTCACCCACAATGGGCTACAACTAGGATTCAACAGGAGACGGGATCTCAGGACCAGGGCCACAAAATACATCTCCGGTGGACATCAGAGGCTATGGGAGTGCCCGGCCAATCACGAGCCACTGTGCCTGTGGCAATCAGTTGGTGAGTGGTGAGAGGGAGGCTTGGAAGCCAGACCCTGCTGCAGCCAGGCCACCTCCCCAGCCTTTGTTCCCTTCTTGCATTTTGAAGAAGCAGCAGCTTTCCTGATGGTCCTCACCAACTACGAAGCTTCAATTTAAAAAAGCAGCGCTTCCCTACAAAACAAATGCAGTGAGAACAGAACTGATGCTGTTTGTCATGTGTTCGGGTTTTTCTGACGTACGTAGCCTTCGTGCAGCAGCCCTGGCTTCCTAAGCTCGGCTGTTTGCAGAGCTCAGCTTGCAGCTGCTCTCTCAGCTGCTCCAATGCAGCAGGGCAACCTAGTGAGAGACTGCCTCCTCCAGAGCGGTCATCTGGCTCACACAGTAACCTGGCTGCTAGCTTATTACCTTTGTGTATTAATTGATGAAGAGACAAAAATAAGATCTTGAAGTTTAAGGTGTCTACAAGCTGCAGGAGGGCAGAGGTGGCTTGGCCAAGAGGGGAGCCCTGGGCCCAGCAGGGCAGCCAGGCGTTTTCAGCACCACCCATGGGACCCTGGCTGAGCACTGCTTATGGGGTCTTTGGTGGCAGAACAACAAAAGTGGAGCTAAAGGCTGCTCAGCTTGGATGGTGATGACATCTGGTGTTGCTGTTACCCCTGGGGCAAGAGGTAGGTCCCAGGGGGAACCAGTCCCTAGGTCTGTTCATCCTCTGGGCCTTCACTTGGGAGAGCAGCTGTGACGGGGAAGGAAAACAGGTTTGGGGGGGCTCTCCCTGCCCAGAAGCTCCAAGCCAAGGGCGAGGCAGTGGTTCCCAGTATGGCCTGGGGATCCCAGTGTTTGCCTAAAGCTGCTTTCTCAGAGGTTCTATTCAAGGGGGCGGGGTTGGGGTTGGGGGGATGAGGTGCTAGTTTTGTTGTGTCCACTTCTCATTTCTATGCATTTTCTCCTTAGTTTTGGGTCCACTGAGCTCCTATACTTCAAATTCTGCCCGGAGAATGACAATATGGATGAATCTCCAACTTACCTGAGCACTGTGGCTTGCAAAATGCTTCCTGGTGGAGCATTTAAATACTCCATCCTCTTTTCAACTTAAATCCAGGAAAAAGCCTCCCTCCCGGCCGGTTGGGAATGGTTTTGCGGTATGGCTGCCACCTTGTGGCAGAATCTTATTACAACTGTGCTCAAACACAAAGGCAAGGGGTAAGCTTGGCCAACCTTCTGACATCTTTCAGCCAAGCAGTATTTTGCTTGTCAGATCCTGCTCAGTAGTTATTATTTCCTGGGGAAATGGTGGCAGAGCAAGTGTTGGCCTCAAAATTGAGACTTCAAGATAGTGATTTTCCAATATTACTCAGCAAACAAGAACTTCACTTGCTTCCCCTATAGTCATCTTAAAGAAAGGAAAATTTGCCCTCCCCTCTGTTAAATTATAGCCACAAAAACACAAAAGGAAATCACTAGGCATGGTGTATAAGCCATTGACCACAAAGTGAAAGTGATGTACATTTCATTTCCAGCTTACACCCAGGATAAATTAGGCTTAGAATTACTGTTTTTCTGAACAAGGACAAGGTATAGCGTTTCTTTCCTTTTTATTTTGTAACAAAAATCAGCAGGAAGCATAACCCAGGGACAGAAATTACAGACTGGTTTAATACTGGGCCTGGGCTTCCTTTTAGTGACTTTCTTTAGCACTTTTTCCAAGGTGTTGAGACCAAATGTCAATAGAGGGGTGGTAGCTTTCTGGGCCGCCACCCAGATTTAGTGCTGGTCATTGTGGCTGTGAAGCTGGCAGACTAAGCCCCAGCCTTTGTGGGCTCCTCCACTTTCTAAAAGTTGACGGTCTTAATCTGTGGGCCACTTGCATTGGACATTTGTGGGGGGCCCTAGGGAGGCCCAGCCAGACCAGAGCACGGCACCAGGAACAAAAGTTCTGATAAGCCTTGGAGAGAACCAACCAGATTGTTCCTGCAAAAACTCCTCCCCTCAAACATGCCAAAGCAATCTCCTCTGCCATCTAGGGCATGAGTCAGACTTGATCTCTTGAAAGGAAGTTTAACCAGGGACCTGGGAAAGCCAAAGGCAAAGGAAGATCTCGGTGCCTCTTGGGAATGCCAGCAACTCAGCCTCCCTGGAATGAGCAGCTGAAGGGCTCCCAAGGAACCCTAACCATTGCAGGAGCCACTGTGTAGAAGGGATGCAGTAAACCATACTGCTCGTGGTGGTGTCAACTCCAACCACATCCTCTGTGGTCACAAAAGCAGACTGAAATAGGTCCCACCCTTCAGTTCCGCAGTGACTTAAAGCACAGCAACTACTACCTGCATTTGCCTATTCCTGGTTACACCCCAGCTGGCACATGGTGAGGACCTAGTCAGTCACTATCTGCTGGGGGTTTGACAGAAGAACAGGGTCTTGCTAGTGTTATGGGCCCAAGGGTCCCTGGCTCTTATCCTCAGAACCTCAGCTTCTCTCCCCTCACAGAAGCCCTTGTTTGCACAGCAACCAGGAATGCTGGCACTTTCCTAAGTTCTGTTCCTCTATGCAGGAGAGGGGATTAATGTAAGTAACTCCAATCAGTGAGTTTAACCAAAAGTGTTACATAAGGTAGTGTTACATAACAGCAGGAAGCAAGTAAAAGGGGTACAGCTTTCCTAACGCGTGCAGACTAAGCTGAAGATTCTAAAACTGCTTCCTCCTTTTCTGAACAGAGCCCTTAAAAAGATTATCTGCAGAGGTGCTAAGAAGGTATAATGCCACTTGAACTAAGCTGCTTCTACCAGCTGTATCACCAGAAGTGGGAGAATCGTGTTCTACATTCACAATGGCTGTTTAAGTCAGGGCCTGAACAAATTGCAGAGACTGACACAGCCAGCTGGAAAGGACAGCTGGCTATTGAATGCCATCACCTGTAGCCTTCACATATATATAAAAAATTGGGGTGCGAGGGGAATGGGAGATCTCGGGAAGAATCTTGACCTTTGTTATTTTTAAGAATAAGCAAAAATTCAAGAAAATTCCTATTTTTTAATAACCACCCAACAGTTTTATGCCTCGCTGTTGGGAAGCCATAATGACCAACTCTGCCAGCCTAATGTAGGAGAGCTAGAGACAGCCTCAAACCAAGGATGACTTCCACGTCCCCTCTCAGGGGCAACTAACTCCTGTCCCTGCTCAAGTGTTCCGCCCGTAGCCGCAGTTGTCTTCTCCCTTCAAAAAGGAGGATGCTGGCAGCCATGGCCGAGTTCAGGCTGTCCACACCAGGCACGACAGGGATCAGCAGCCTCTTGCCCCCGGTGCTCTCAGCCAACTGCAGGGACTCCAAGCTCAGGCCATGCGTCTCCCCACCTATGACCACAGCTGCTGGGGCCTCTGACCAGTCCAAGTCGTAACTCTGGACCTCAAGTTCAGGGAGCCAGTCTTTACTGGCTCCAGTTTCTAGATCCTCCTCCTCCTCTTCCTCGTACTTGTGAATCTTCGAGAGTTGTTGGTCACACATCCAGCCATGGTCACTGGCTTTATTAGATTTCTGGGCCTGGGTATAAAGGCCACAGTTGTCTGCCACGTAGACCCGGGTATCGTCGGGCAAGTACTTGGGCACTGTTTCCCAGTCCAGGTTGTTGATGATGGGCACCTGGAAATGCGCACCCATACCTGCCCGCAGCACTTTGGGCTCCCAGGGATCCACACAGCCTAGAAAATAAAAGAGGATCTAATTACGATTACAAACCTTCCCAGACGAGGGGACTTTCAAGTAAACTAGATTAATTCTGGATCAGGAGATAAAACAAAAAATCTCCTACTGTAGGTTCTTGATAGCTGGCACCGCTGCCTCCCCCATATGGCACTATCCAGCAATGGGACTGTAGGAGGAATTCCGGCTAGTGCCCAAACAGACTTTATTCATCCCTTCAACATTCACACCTGCCAGACATTGTATGGGAGATGCAAGAGCATTTAAAGTCCCCAACCTCAGCGAGCTCATGATACAGAAGCAGCATGAAAAGGGTAACTTAACAGAAAAACCCTTGCACAAAGAAGGACTACCAGGAAAAACACCCCAGAGACATGACACTGAGCTGGATCTTGAACGATAGGAGGATCTTGTCGGAGAAAGAAAGGCCCAGGGAGAGGTCAAAGCTACAGAAGGGGGAAGAGTGCCACAGTCCAAACACTGTAAGTAAGGTGGATTAGGAAAACTAATGGGTAGGTGTGGTGGGAGATAAGACAGGGGGCAGGTGTGTGGGACGGGTGTGTGGCGCTGCTGGTCATGGAGACGTGCCAATTTAAAGGCAGCTGGGTATGAGTTCAGGATTTTATCCAGAAGACAAATGACATTGAAGGATTTTAAACAGAATAGTGACAGAATCTGGTTTATGTTTTAGAAAGAGCCATTTGGCTTCAATGCTGAATCTGATTGGAGCAGGGAAGATGCTAGAGAGATGGAGAAAATCAGACTGGAGGCAATTACAGTAATCCAGGGAGAACCAAGGCAACAGCCTTGTCCTTCACATACACACCTGCTCTTACAACAAGAAGGCTAAACCATCTACTCTTTTACGTACGGGCACGTGCTCAGCCCAACAACTTCTATGTACTGGCAGATACTTCACCTTTCCTAGGACCATGTGCTGGAAGAAGACAGCAGGACCAGGACACCACAAACCTACCATCCTCATTAGCACAAGTCTCCTCACTACAAGTTATTTTAAAGAGGGGCCCAGATTCATGAGGAGAGCCATCTAGTGTGACCCCTCTACTTGGTGGGGGAGTACAGGGCAAGATGAGATTTCCTCCATCCACATGTCCTCAATACTATGCACCACACCAAGTGTTCCCTACTCTTTTCCTACCACTCATACACAGCCCCCAGCACCATTGTGAAAACATCACTTGGGTTATATAGAAACATTTCCAAAACCACACCTACTCTCAGAGCTCTCACCAATGGGGCAGGTAAGTGGGTACTGATGATGGAGCCCAAGCACCCAGCTCTCACACTGGCAGAGAAATGCACTCCAACGTGTGACTGGGGGAAAAGTTAAAGGAGGAATTTAGGCAAGTCTCAGCAACGGGTACCAATTTTAGTTTACACTGAAAGGTAACTTGAGTGTTTCTGATGAATGATCCTCTCCTTCCCACCCTCCCCTAAGTTGTAATAGGCATTTTAGGCTTGTCCCAACTGTTAGGCAAGTCTGTTTAGAACCAAACTTACTAATCCCCATTTCTAATGAGGAGACAGGAAAAAAATGTAACGAGGCTAATTTGTGTTGTGGGGTGTTTGACTTCTGAGGCTAAGGGAAATGTATCACAATTTCATAATCGCACTCTGTTGAAATAATTTCCTTTCACAGGATTCAGAATGTCAAAGAATTAGAATGGTCTCATACCCAACAATTTGGAAACTCAAGATCATTAAATAAAGGACTTGAAATCAAAAATTAAAACTAGCATCTACTTCTTTCCCTGATTGATTTTAAGTTTTTTCTTTAATAACCTAGCAGGTGTCAAAATAATTTTAAAAGATAATCAACATTTACTGAATTGCTATGTGCCAGGTACAATGCCAAGTACTGTCTGTGCATTATGTCACTTGATCCTCAAAACTTGATCCTACCTTCCATGTAGATTCTGTTATCATACCCACATTATAGAGGAGGAAACGGACACTCAGAATTCCACTCAGACCTGTAGCTAATGAGGAGCAGATCCAAGATTCAAATCCAGGCATGTCTGCCCAGAGCCAGCTCACTTACAAATGGCCACCCAGTCACAGGCGCTCTTACCTTTGGTGAGTAATACTTTGCTGCAACCTGCCCCAGCAGCAGATCTCAGAATCGTCCCCAGGTTCCCAGGGTCTCGGAGATTGTCACAAATCAACAATAAGGGCAGTGAATGGCGAAGCTGAGTTGCTGGGAATGTCATCTTAACGTGATCAGGTTTGGCAAAAATCCCTGAGGAAACAAAACAGGAAGTTCACTTGTCTAATGTAGACATGGGGAATAATTAGACTTTTCATCTATTTCTCACTGCCTATATTTTCTTAATTACTTGAATACATTCTGGTTGAAAAAATTCAGAGAAAGTCCTACCAGTGATCCCCCGCATAAGTGCTTTCAATCTTGAAGTGTATTGTATACTTTCAGAACTTGTTCCATGCAGCTACCTACATATATGCACATCTACCCACACAGAGGTGCTTTTATTCTTTTACAAAATAAATCATACTCAGTATTATCCTGTAATCTACTTACCTAAGTCTATAACTCGTCTTTGAGAACTTACCATGTCAATACATTTGGAGCTATCTTATTCTTTTAAGTGCTGCTTCTTGTTTTGTAACTTGAATGTACTACGTTTATTTAAATCTTCAATGGACTGACATTTAGGATATTTTCAATTTCCCCTATTATAAACAACCCTGCAATAAACGTCCCTGTATGCCTCTCTGTGCACACGTCTAAATTATTTCCCTAGGAAAAACTCCCTTCTAAGTGAAACGAGTAAATGGTGTGTGTACACTGTTCATGGTAACTGATCTTGCCCGCCCTCCCCACAAGCCCTTCCAGTTTATTCACACCAAGAACACCTACTAGTACATCCCTGTAACTACCCTATCAATGGCATCACAGCTACATAAAACCTTACGTTAGATTCAAGCAAAGGAAGACAAGGCTTCCTGTTCCATGGGCTAAACAGGGCAATACATTGGCGCTCAGACCTGCTTCTAGAACAAGGGAGTCAACGACAGGCATCGCCACACGGGCAGGGGTGCTGTGGAAATGGATGGCTAAATCTTTTGGCAAACGTTTCCCTAAGTTTTAGTTGGACATTAAAGGTTGAAGAAATGACCTAAAAAAAAAAAAATAAGGTGTGAGGAATAATAAAGGGCCGTAATACAAATAATGATGGCTTCACTTTCCACTAACGATACTAGAAGATGCACGACTTATAGAAGATCTGAGAACTCTATTTTTCTGGGCATCTTCAGTAACACTTTGAATCTGGTTTAAATAAAATGTGTCCCCCTGAGACAAGCATGAACGAACAATCCCAGGCCTCTACTGCCGGTGACACACCGCGCAGCCACTGACCCATGATTCCTTGCGGTGTGACTAGGTCGGACCATTCCTTGATTTCCTCAAACTTCACCTTAACGAGGCGGACCCCCTTCAGCTTATCGGCGGGCAGCTCCTTCAGGTAGTCCAGGCGGCTGAAGAAGAACATTTTGGGCACAGCGCCGGCCTTGAGGGCGTCCGCGATCAGCCGGCGGCCTTCCAGCAGGATCTTCCCTTGCTTTTCCCGGAATGTCCTGGACTTGACGACTGTCATCACGCTGTTCAGCCTTTTGTCTCCGGGGAAGGCCTTATCGTAGCGAAGCCCCGACTCTTCCCAGGTGCTGGGCGTCTGGGCTGGGGGCGTCTGGGCTGAGGGTTCCTGAGGCGCCTGCTTCGGTCGCTGCACGTGGGGACTGGCCTCGGCCGCCGCCTTCCGCCTTCCGG